TATTTATACACAAATAATAGTGGAAAGCAAACGGAAGCTTGAAGCACTAATCTTGTCTAACAGCTTTACAATTTAATATACTGACAAGACCATGCTTATATGTTGAATAACTTTACAGCTCATTGAGATGGGTATGGGTTTCACGTGTCTTCTGTTGAAATGACTTTGGTGGGTTGCATGTTAGTCCTTTTACACCCCCTCAAGCTGAGAGGAGGGGATCGAATAGAAAGCTTGGACCGTAAGAGCTGAAAACGTGCCTTAGGAAGAGCTTTAGTGTGAATATCAGCTATTTGATCTTGACTGCAGACATACTGTACGGTGAGAGCTTTACTGAGAACCAGTTCTCTGATGTAGTGGTAGTCCAATTCAACATGTTTGGTCCTTGCATGAAAAACAGGATTGGAAGCGAGAGAGATGGCGGAAATATTATCACACCGTAAGAGAGGTGTAGAATTCAAATATAAGCCAATATCAGGAGTACTTTGCATATCCAGGTAAGCTCAGCAGCAGTAATGGCTAATGATCTGTATTCAGCCTCTGTAGATGATCTAGCAACAGTGGGTTGTTTCTTGGCACTCCAACTAATTAGATTTGGGCCAAAGAACACACAATACCCACTGGTAGATCGTCTGTCAAAATGGCACCCTGCCCAGTCAGCATCAGAGTATGAGACCAGATCCAAGTGACCTTTCTTGAACCACATACCATCTGTAATGGTGCCTTTGAGGTATCTAAGAATTCTTTTGACAGCCTGCATATGTGATTCCCTTGGAGTGTGCATGAATTGACACACTTGATTCACAGCAAAAGAAATATCTGGTCTGGTCCATGTTAAGTATTGTAGTGCACCTGCCAAAGATCTGTATTCCACAGGATTTTGTAATAAAGGACCAGTATGGTCAAGCTTGAGAGAACCAACAGGAGTTACACAAGGTTTAGCACCCTCCATCTTGGCCCTGGAGAGTAACTCCAAAGCATATTTTTGCTGAGAGAGGAAAATGCCATGATCAGTTTGGTGCACTTCAAGACCCAAAAAATAATGGAGGGGTCCCAAGTCCTTAATAGGAAATTGAGTGCCAAGTTTAGAAATGATTGTTTGACAAGCTGCAGAAGAGGGACCAGTGATGATAATATCATCGACATATACAAGAATTAAAACCAAATGAGGCACTTTGAGGATAAAAAGAGAAGTATCAGATTGAGAGGCTTGGAATCCTAGAGATAACAGAGAGGTATATAGCTGGTCATACCAGGCCCTGGGTGCTTGTTTCAGACCATAGAGGGACTTATGCAATTTGCAGACATAAGATGAGTTATCTGGAGCGACAAAACCAGGTGGTTGTTCCATAAATACGTCCTCAGTGAGAAAACCATGGAGAAAGGCATTACTAACGTCAAGTTGATTTAGAAACCAATTGTGAGAAGCAGCCAAGGTGAGCAAAATTCGAATAGTGACTGGTTTGGCAACTGGGCTAAAAGTCTCAGAGTAATCCAAACCTGCCTGTTGATGATATCCCTTGGCCACTAGACGGGCCTTGTACCTGTCAATACTGCCATCTGACTTCTTTTTGATCCGAAAAACCCATTTGCAGCCAACCAGATTGTGAGAAGGAGAAGAAGGGACAAGGCTCCAAGTTCCTGTCGCTTGCAAGGCATTAAATTCCTCTTGCATTGCCAATCTCCAATGAGGATATTTAGAGGCCTGAGTATAAGTGGAAGGAACAAATTCAGCATTTGAAACTAAGGATGGGGAAAGAGGATGTTTGGTGGCAGAGAGAGCCTTAGGCTTGTAAATACCATTTTTAGATCTGGTAATCATAGGATGAGTAGGTAGAGGAAGGGGCGCAGGAGAGGGAGAAGAAGGAAAAGATTGAGGAGTGGGAGGAGGGGAAGGGGAAGAGGAAATGACAGGAGTAGGGGTCGAGGAGGATGAAAAGGTAGGAGAAGAGAGAGGAGGAGAAATATTGGATAATGGAGTGTGATTGGCAGGGAAGGGAGTAGGAAAAGTTAAGGAAAATGAGGAGGAGAAAGAAGAAGGAGGAGAGGTAAGGGAGAAGTAGAAGAGAGAGAATGAAAAGGGAAATCTGTTTCATGAAATAGAACATGACGGGAGATGTAGATTCTGTTGGTGGAAGGGTCAAGACATCTATACCCTTTATGTTGTAAACTATACCCTAAGAAGACACATGGTTTACTCTTTGGATCCAATTTGGAAGAGACATAAGGTTGTAGCCATGGGAAGCACGCACAACCAAAGACTTTGAGTTGAGAGTAATCAGGGGGTCTGGTAAAAAGTAATTCCCAAGGAGAGCGGGAGGTAGAAGAAGTAGGCATGCGGTTGATAAGGTAAATAGCAGTGGAGAATGCTTCAACCCAAAATTGGTGAGGAACCTGTGAAGCAACTAAAAGAGTTCTAGCTGTTTCAACTAAATGCCTATGTTTTCTTTCAGCACACCCATTTTGCTGAGGAGTGTGAGGACAGCTGAACTGATGAGAGATGCCATGGTGAGCAAGAAAGGAACTAAAAGCATGGCTGGTAAATTCACCCCCGGAATCACTTCTGAGAATTTTGATTTTGGTGGACAACAAATTTTCAGCATAAGACTTAAAATTTTGAAAAACAGAAAAGACATCCGATTTTGCTTTAATTGGATAAAACCAGGAATACTTGGTATGATCATCAACAAAGATTACATAGTATCGATAGCCATTGACAGAAGAAGTTGTTGATGGTCCCCAGACATCTGAGTGTACCAAATACAATGGTGCAGAGGAAGCATTAACTGAAGTAGGAAAGGGTAACCGTGCACATTTGCCTAAAGCACAATGAGTACAAAAGAAATGATTTGGAGCAGAAGCAGTCAACTTGATGTGCTGGGCTGACAGCAACTTGCGGAAAATTTTAGATGAGGGATGACCAAGTCTTTGATGCCAAATCGGAAAAGCAGCGGTGGAAGCGACATGAGCAGAATGGGAAGAGCGAAATAATGCCGGAATATGATTGAAGTGATACAGACCGTGCTTAGCAGGGCCCTGAAAAAGCATCCTCCCCGATGCGAGGTCCTTAACAAAAAAACCATGAGGATGAAAGGTTAGTGAACAATGATTATCAGTGACAAACTTATGTACGGACAACAGATTGTAGGCTAATTTAGGCATATGTAGGACATTATGAAGCTGAAAATGAGCAGTTTTAGTACGCAAGATAGAAGTGCCAGAGTGTGAAATAGGCAGACCTTGACCGTCACCAATAAAAACTTGCTCTTGACCATTATAAGCTGATGGAGTTTGCAGATTATTGTAGTGAGGGGTCATATGAGAGCTAGCACCAGAGTCAACTAGCCAAGTACTGGAGGACGGAGCAGAGGTGGCATTGGCACACATAGCAGACAATTTGGCAGGAGGAATTCGACCGTGGAAAGCATGATTCATGCGATTATAGCAATCAATTGCTGCATGTCCAGAGGAGTTGCAAATTTGACACACTGTTTTACCTCCAGATGAATAATGAGGAGATGGGAGATATTGTGCACGACCTTGACCATAGGTGGAGGATGAATTACGTGGAGGGGCCTGAAATTGAGAGGAAGATTTGGAAGAACCAAAATGTCGAGAGCCACGACCACGAGAACGAAAGTGAGTGGCAGCAAAGGCTTGATGAGGACCAGAGCCACTGTAAGTGTGAGGAGCTTGAAAGGAGGGAGGAGTGGACAACAGAGGGGCAGAGGCACCTTGTGTAGAGGCAAAGGCTTTAAATGGTTCAGAGTGAGAACTAGAAGACTGAAGCTTCTTTCGTGCTAAAGAAAGTTCTTTGCTGAGTAAAAGGCCATGAAGGTCGTCAACAGACGTAGAAGTGAGACGAAGCTCAATAGAATCAATAAAGGATTCAAATTCAGAAGGGAGACCATTCAGAATAATGGCAATGATGTCTGAATCATCAATAGGGGCACCAGCAGCAGCCAAAGCATCAGAGAGTTGTTTGATTTGCTGTAAGTACTCAGAGACAGAAGAAGTTCCTTTTTGCATCGATTGCAATCTAGATCGGAGATGATGAACATGAGAGCGAGAGACACCAGCAAATCTCTTTTCAAGATTAAGCCACAAATCTCGAGCAGATTGAATACCTACAGTAAATGGAATGAGATCTTCAGAGAGTGTGGAATTGATCCAGATGATAATATTCTGATCCTTTTCGTACCAGGTATCAAATGCTGGATTTGGAATGGTAGAGGACCCGGTGGAATCTGGTATAGAAACAGAGGGACATGGCTCAGTGCCATCAACAATACCGGAGAGTCGGTAACGGCGAAAAATTGGAGCAAAGAGTGATTTCCAAAGAAGATAATTATCACGTTTCAATTTGATGGGCACCATACTGCCAATATTCTGCACAGTGACAGAAGAAAACATGCTAGAGGAAACATTGGCTGCTGTAGAGGCAAGTGAAGTCGGAGACGGAGAAGACACAGTGGTCGTAGGAGGAGAAGTGGGAGGGGTAGCCATGGGTGAGTGTATAGAATGATGAAATTGTTTGGAGGAAGGAAATAGAAAAAGGAAGCAGAAACGAGAAGGAGGAAAAGGAAGGAGTAAAAAAAAAATTAAAGCAGGATCGAGAAATTGAAAGTAGAGTTGCCGTAAGGCATGGGCTTTGATACCATGAAAGATTATGTGAAAGTTATCTTTTCATTGATAAAAGTGTAGACTATTTATACACAAATAGTGGAAAGCAAACGGAAGCTTGAAGCACTAATCTTGTCTAACAGCTTTACAATTTAATTTACTGACAAGACCATGCTTATATGTTGAATAACTTTACAGCTCATTGAGATGGGTATGGGTTTCACGTGTCTTCTGTTGAAATGACTTTGGTGGGTTGCATGTTAGTCCTTTTAACGTCAACTGTGTTGCCCTCTCTAAAAGAGAAGCAGGATGAGTTTTTGTTGACTGCCTAGCCGCCTAGCCGCCCGCCTAGGCCGATTTTTCGAACACTGCAATTGATTGAAAGTCTGAAACAACAATGGCCTCTTTCAGCGTCCTTTGGCTTCTTTTGCAGTCTATGCTTTCTCAGCTGCTTCTGGTTTCATGTGTCCATGATCCATCACCTTTCTTCAAGATCACTTCCATCATAGCCACTTGGTATATAGTGCTTGGTCTAGACTTATCTGTACAGTGCTGTCTTTGATTTGGATTTGTATATGATTGTTGCTTCAATTTCTTATTTTTGGAATTTTGACATGGAAGGCATGATGCTTGTGGTTTGTAGGTTGTTGGGTACCTTAACAGGAATGATTTTGGATAATTTTATTCTACTATTATATAGTAAATATCCAAATGATGAACTTTATGCTTTTGAAAATTCTGTAAAATTAA